GAGGCAGTATCACTACGGCAGTAGTTTGCCCCATCTTTCTTCTGAGGAGTGGCTGGTGGGTTTGAACTGCCAGCCTTCTGGTTAGCAGTCAAGTGCCTTAGGCACTATGCTACCAGAGCTCCTCGCAGATCTGGATAATTCAGTGAATCAATATTATCCAAATGGTCAGTGTATTATACTATAAGACCACAAAAGGGTGAAAGATCCACTCAAAATACAAAATAGACCAATGGATTTGACTCTGAATACAAAAAGAGCATAACATGATTTCAGATTCCACATTGCAACCTTAAGAAATTACTATTTATTCCACCCTTTTTAAAAATCAGCCTCATATCTGTCTGAGGCTGGATTTTCTTAATAAACTTAAACAAAAATAACACATCACAACAGATGGAACACAGAAACACATATGAAAGTCCAGCTGTCTTAAAGAGATTTGCAAAAATGTGAAATAATGCCACTTACACATACTTTTGTTTTGGAAAATATAGTAAGCATGCAATGGATTTATTATTTTCATTTCAAATGAGTTAATACACAAATATGTTTAAATGTCTCCATTTTAATCTCTCATATAGTAAATTTCAATAGAAGTAACCCATGTAACTTATCTCCAAAATCTATAGAAAACTTCAACACCTCAACACCAAAAAGAAAAACAATAAGATGTACACGCAGGCCACTCAACCCAGAGTGACTGACACACCTATGGAGCCTACGGAGATGCATACCTGGGAACAATCGACCATGGGGCACCAGAGGGGCAATATTCGCATGGAGGAAATGCAGGCACACAGGAGTGCATAACTATGAGAGGCACGGGGGCGGGGGGTGGTTACGGGCAGGGAGGGGAGGAGAGTGGGTTAGGGTTGGGGATGGTAATTGCGGAGTGAAAACAAATATACATGAAATGTTGAATGTAAAACAAACGCTGCACTGTAAACTTGCACCTAAAGCACAATAAAAATTATATTAATTAATTAAGTCACGTACAACGTGAAAAAAAAAAAAAAGAAGTAACCCATGTAACCAAAGTTCTTTGGAGTCCTCAATAATTATTAAGAATGTTGTTGTTGTTGTTGTTATGTGCCGTCGAGTCGGCCCCGACTCATAGCGACCCCTCCTTGGGTTTCCGAGGCAGTATCACTACGGAA